TGCCGTCCATTCCGATTGAATTGTCGGTATATTTCTGAATTTATTCGATTTAAACATACGGGTTCATTATATATTCGATTTTCTGTATATGGTTTTCTATGTAAAAATTGCTTAACACATTCAATTATTCGGTGTTTCTACTCTGTTTTTTCAAAATAAATCTGGTAATGTTATTGAAAAAACTTTCACTGCATGTAGAGCCTGAACAGATCTTTATAGATCTATGGATATGGGGTTGGTTAATGTCTGAATCTCCGAGACCTAACATTTTTTGGGATTCAGATCTGCATAGATCCATGACTTTTTAATTCGCACACATATATACATCTACGGTATTTACATCTGCATCGATCCATGATTTTTTATAATCTGATGTTGGCCCTGTATTTACATCTACGGCACTCTACTATCGTATCCATGGCCACAATTGTATGTCGTAATACGTATATATGAATCAAATACCTAAATTAATATATTCCGAAGTTATCCTATTTTTCAATATGTAATGTAGTAGTAGTGATTTGAAATAAAACCTTATGATTAAATTATTTTTATAAGTCAACACTAATATACCTATTTTACTACTTATTTTTGTAACAGCTTAAATCATTTTTTAAATTAAATCTATTTTTTCAAACTGTGCTTCATATATCTTAAAACTCAAATAATTCCTAAGTGATTCTGTTTTTTAATATGAAGAAGTACTTATTCAAAACAAAACTAAGCATACCTACATATATATATGAACGTCTATATTCCTAGCATTTATGCAGATCTAATCCGTATTTCATACTGCTATTAGCACACTGTTTTTAATACTTAATTAGTATTTGTTTCAAAGTTTGTTTGTTTTTAATTTTTCAAACCATATGATTAATCCTGGGTTGATCCATTTAATGCTTGGCTCTTACAAATCACTTCTCATACATAAAATGTAACATCTATATACTTATTTTAATCCTTACTTTTGGTGCAACTCTTTAAGATCAATATTTTTAAAAAATATAGGTTTCAAACAATATCGGGTTTTCAAACTATGCTGTAATACCTTACATTTAGTACTTGTTTAAAATGGAAACAATAACTGATTTGAAACAACATTTGTTTGTAAAACTAAGCTGTCAGTCTTCTGTATAACCCTGTGATCAATGTTTTTTGATTAACCAACACTAAGTTTTTGCAATCAATCTGTCATGGCTATATTCGAACATTTTTTTATATTTGAAAAATAAACTGTGCTAATGCAGCTTAAATACTGTGAATTGTAACCACATTTTTCTTTAAAATCAAGCAGTCATACATTTATGGATATACTATATTAATATTAATGTATATGAATACAAATCATTTGCTCAAACTAATATTTAGAGCCATGCTGTTTATGCCACTTCATAGCCTTCTATTGTCTATCTGGGACTATGAGTAGATGATGTGGCACTGAACATAGGGTTGCCGGATACCCTGCCAGCCACATCAGTGGCCTTCGGAACTGCGTGGTCCGGTAGCCCGCTGCACGGCCATCATCCTTTCTACCTTAGACCACATTGATATGATGATACAATGCCCAACTTTTATCCCCAGACATTTTTCTTGTCATCAATTCAATAAAATTCCAGGTTATATATTCCACTATAAATCTGTACTTTGCATTATTACCTTGGTCAAGTACCTCTCCTGCAGGCCTCTTGCGGTTGATTATTGTTGATTTGGTAAGCCTCCTCATTTATATAATGTCATATGATATATGTCCCTGTATATGATATGTATATCATCTACATCAGGTTCTATCTGTGACGTCACAAATGCATATTTATTTGGCTAAAACCATATAAAAAATGCATATTCCACAGGCTATCATATTATCAATGCATCCTAATCATCTTTTCATCTTAAACTTCTATGCACAACATTAAAATATATTTTTGATACAAATTATCCCACAAATGAAGGTAGCCAGGCATACAGTAGTTCATACAAAAATGAAAAACTGCAGTAGCAAAAATATGCATTCATGGTGTATAACTCTATGCATTCATAGTACATTATAATCTGGAGTAGCAAAAAAAATGCATTCATAGTGCATGTAAATCCATCATTCATTAAATCTCATTACATTTAATGTTCTGATACATTTCATGTAGCCTAAAGGCATACTTCTTAATTAACAGCATAAAATATTTTATCTAAGTCCTTTTTAACCAACCCATCTGCATTCCCACAATTGTGTCTTTATTGAAAAACTTTCTGTTAAGATACACAACCCGAGCAGATCTCCTAGGTAACACCAGACATGTATCTAGCAAATCTTGTTCACATTGTTTGCATATCAAGTCCACAGTATCCTTGTCCCTGTTTAGTGGCTTCATGCAGTAGTAGTGACTGAAATTTGTTTTACACCGAGAACAGTCCTCCAGCACAAAGCCCCCACTAATATCACCACAACCATGACATTTGAGACTAAAAGTGGTAGTACTTAAACCCTCATTCATCCTCTAAGTTCATGCAAATCAATCTGTATATAAAAAGACATATCTCATTTTTACTAATAAATGTATTTTTATCCTCATTCATACAATATGTGTTACATCACGCATTTTTATTATAAATTCAGTGCTTAGTATGTACTAAATAATAAACTTGCTCTTCAAAATAACTGGAAACGCACCTTTCTTGCTGTTTAACAAAAGCATTTGCACTCTTTAAACTTCTCTCATGAAGAGGGAGTCTCTGAATTGGTATCTCGTTTGTAGCTATTAAATGCCAACTAATGGAGTTGGTGTATGCATTTATGTTTATTTATAATAGGGATCTGAAACTGGGCAATACCCAAAGGTTAAATCCTAGTCTGTCAGTTATAAATAATACAGTTGGGAAGGCTAGAATTCATTGGTTCGTACAACTGTATTGGGACTCAACATTTTGATTAGTCAGTCAAGTTTGAATGAATTGGATTTAACTTTTTTCAGCTGAGAGCTACGTTTCATTCGTATATATATTTTCATATCAAATTTTGTATTGGGAATCAACCTTTTCTTGAACTACCGTCTTTTTTTGGATATTATTCATTGGTTGCCGTGATATCAATTTCTACTGTATTGATCAGTAGAGAGTTGAGGATATTCAATGGCCGACATTAACTGTGCTCAATTTATACCCCTCATTTATTTCGAATATACATAAAATTTTTCATAAAAAGTTATCTATTATGTGATTTTAAACTTAGTCAAAAATTTCACAAAAATACTTTAGTCAACACTGACCTCTAAGAATATTGTTTTTTATTATATATTTTTTCCACTTTTCATGCACCTAAAGTTGTTTCATATTTTGCACCAATCCTCTCACAATTTTCATTAAAAAAAATTCGGTAAATACTTCCAATAATTTGAGCACATACATTAATTAATTATCTATTTAATATTTGGTAGATAATTATTTGTTGTCTCTGCTATTTATAATAAACTTAATTAATTAATGTTTTATATGTATGAACTCATATTGAAATTAGAGTTGCTCTTCTATAGTTTACTTCAAATTATTTACTGCATGTTTTACATCTACAGGTTCTTTTACATAAGGGAGTTAGATATGTGTAGTTCAATTTTGAAGCGTAGATAGTTAAAAATGTAATTTATAGGATTCTGGGACCTTATAAAGGTTGCCATTCATGTAATAATTATGTAGTTCATATTAGGAATTACAGGGAACTTTGCAGCATCAAAACACACAGGTATGCTCCAAACTCTTCTGCTTGATTTTCATTACGTCTGTGTATACTTGTAATATAGGTCTGGCCAAAGTTCTTTGCTTGATTTTTTGGTTTTTTTTTTTTAATATTTCACCTGAAAACATTACTGGAAGTATTTGATATTGAACAACTGTTGAATTTGGCTTTTTACTCAATTTCCAAAATATACATTTGTTTTCTTAAATTAAATTTCGACTTTGATTTTAATTGGCTTGATGAATGGCCCACACATGAAGTTTAAACTCGTATTTTAGTATGAAAACATAGTTTCATTTTGAATATAATTTGAAGTTTGAACTCCAAAGTAAGAGACTGAGTGGAATGACTAATCACATTACAACTGAAACATTACAATCTGTAACTTTACAATATTTCAAATGCAAATTTCTACTACATTCAAAACCAATCTGTCTACAAAACTTTGGCTAGTGCTATAGTTATAATGCAGAGTCTTCAGTATGTGTGTCCATCCTCCCTGTGGGTATCCAATAGGTTGAAATGTGGTTAGCCTTCAACTCCACCTGCAAACTTCTAAAAAAAACAACCAAAAAATGCATGTATATAGGAAACTTCAATATGTGTGTCCATCCTCCCTGTGGGTATCCAATAGGTTGAAATGTGGTTAGCCTTCAACTCCACCTGCAAACTTCTAAAAAAAGACAACCAAAAAATGCATGTATATAGGTTGAAATGTGGTTAGCCTTCAACTCCACCTGCAGTCTTAATAAGTTGAGTAGTTGACCCATCATAGTAAAATCTATTTTGTAGCACCAGAAGCATACTAAGTCCTGATAGGCAGATAGTACCAAAAGTCTAGAGTTATTACAGCAGTTAAAGTTAACAAAAATTAAACATGGTCACACATTCTTCAAAATAAAAGTTTGCTTTTGACATAAACATCCGTCAAAATCGAGTTTTAGCAACTTTTAGCAAAACATTTCGAAAAGTGCTTCTCCTTATCAACCATAGTCACTGGAAGCTTAATCCCTTTCCTTCTTCACCTTCACCCTCATCCTTCTGCCATTCTTAGTAGCTGAAAACTCATCATCCAATTTTCTTTTCATTGATTCTTCCAAGTTAATGACAACTGTTTTCTTTGATGATGACTGTGGCGTCTCGTCATCCTCTCCTTCTTTCACCTAAGCATAAATAACAATTAATCACTCTCATGTTCCTTTGTAAAACCGACTCTAAAAGAACATTGAAAAATCAAACTTCAGTAATATAAGAGTACCTCAGCCTTTCCATTCCCTTCAACTTCTTTGTCTGTTGCTATCAGGTCTGAGTCGTTCACCGAACCGCACTAAAAAAATTTGATTAAAACCACTTCAGATACATTTAGTTACACAGTATTGCAAACAATATTTGCATCTTATAGAATTTATTACCAATTCCTTTTCTTCCAGATCAAGTTCAGCAGTCTTGGTATCCTTGCTCTTGTACATTGATAGGATAGCCGGATCTCTGAACATTGAAAGCACCCCAAAAGAATTGTTTCCTTTATAGGAACTCCCTTCTGGTTTGTTCTTGACCTGAACCTTGAATAGACCTTTTTTCTCTATAACAGCCTCAATCTCCTCTGGAAAGTGGTTGGGGTCTCCTGTTTTCTGAAAAAAATCAACATTTCCAATAAATTTGTTTAACAGCAAGTACTTGCTAAAATAATAATAAAATTTAAAATATGTGAAAATTCTTTTGGTGGCTGAATGTCTACCTCAATTATCTCCCTCCTTAGCCTTGCTGCAGATTTTCCAAGGATTTCTGAGCATTCTCTGTCCCACAGAGTAAATGAAGCATGCCCTATGTCATCCATAACACAGATACTGACTTTGTACCTATGTTATAAACAATCATCACACATTGTAAGTAGCTTTTTAAAACCCTTAGATAAGGAAAAGGTACATGATTTAAATATTGAACTGACCTCAAAACTCCTTCTGCAAGCATGATGTTACATGATGCACAGCGGAATCTGTTTTCCTCAGGCACTACTTTCTTGTTACATGATGTACACCCCAAGTAACACCATTCTCTGAAACTGTCTATAGAGACAATTTCAGCCAAAACCCAATATATTCCTTCCTGAAAAAAAGAGGACACAGTTATTGGGTAAGTTCTCTAACCGCTGTCAAGAATAGATATATCAGATGTGACCATAGTATTAGGTGATTATTTGACCTCTGTCTTTTCCAGCAAGTCACTAACACTGGTCAGAGATACGTTTCCATCTAAGATGTCATCATGACCGTTGTTGTGCGACTGTGTACCTATGAACGTTAGCGTTCCATTTTCCTCTGCTTCGTTATCAAACCTGTAGAAAGCACACACATGAGAACATTGAAATCTACCAGTAACATAGCGAACCATATCATAGTAAATTGGCCACTTACAGATTTCTGAATTCTAGAAACTCGTCCCTTGGCTCGTTGATGATAAGCTTTGTTACGTCAAAGGATGTGGAAACTGAGACGTTTCCTGAAAATTTACACATAGTTAGATAATTGAAAACTTGTTAGAAAATAGTTGTCAAAACGTAAATATGGTACCCTTGTAGCGCTTAGCCCTGCACAGCTGCACAATCATAAAGATCGGTTGATTTTGAGCATGGTTGACATAGTCATTGAACTCGGTTATGTAGTTATTCCACAGAGTACAGCCAATCATGTTCCCACTGCAATTAAAACATAGGTTAGGACGGTAGGCACTTAGATTATAACAACCTAATGTCACAATAGATGAAATAAAACTAATACTCTGAGTCCTCAAGGGTAAGTTCCATCAGCCTTTCGGTGCGGTTGTTGATTACATGTGTCTGTGGAGCACAGCGCCCCACAACCTTTCCTATTACATCTGAGTAAAGAACAACTGTTAAAAATTGACAAATGTTTGTGCATAAAGAATTTAGTAAAGTATATTACCAATGAGAAGCTTGTCATTCAGCAGCCTTTGAGCTTGCAGCATCTCAAATGGCTGTAGGTCGTACATAAAGTTTGGAAATTCCTTATCTAAATGCACGACCCTAGTTCTGCTCACGAACTCCAAAATGTAAGGGTGAGAGGTGGTCTTGTACAGCTGGTAATTGTCCAGCACCATGAAATTCTTCATGGCATACACGTTGTCCTCCATAACTTGGGGCCTGAACAATGCCACCTGAGGTCGTTTCACCACAGCGTGAATGCGAGTACCCTACAGGATCTTTCCAAGTTAGTTTGCAAAAACAATCATGGAAAAAAATGGTTAAAAATATTGCAGTTGAAGTGTATACCTCCTCATCATGTAGTACCATTTCTAGTGTGTTCCCACCCCTAGCATGAGCTGCTACTTCGTATATCCTAACCACTCGAACCTGCAAGGCCCAAGTGGTCTTTGTATGGTCAATCTCACTTATAAGAGACCACATTCCTGCACTCTTAGTTCCTGCCATAGCGACACTGTGTAGTAGTAACAACTGTGGAGATGAGATAAGAATAATTCTGTGTTGCTGAGAGTGGTGTGAGAATGCCTGGCAAAGTGTCCTATTTATATTACCACGTAAAGGTTCAATTGGATTTTTGAAAACTAATCTTAAGTGTGTGGCCCAATTGTGCCCAATGGATTTTCAAATATCGTTGCACTTCTCCCCAATGTTTGTAATTCACAGCTCCATTAATGAATTTCTTATTTTGTTTCTCTTTCCCACCTACCTTGAAAGTGTTGTGTCCTTTTTAGCTAAAATTGAATGTATAGTCATTCCATGATTCTTGCAATTCGTGCTAGCATTCCAAGGATGCTCTGTGCATTAAATGCCTCCTCGATCTCTAAAGAGGCTGAACCAATAGCATTAATTGATTTTCTAGTTCTGGATCAACGCCCAACTACTAAAAAGTAGTAATTTGAATTGTGAACAATAGTAGAAAAAACAGTCAACCGAATTCAATGCAATTTCCTTGGAGTTGTGAAGATGCTCAATGCATTTAATGTGAACTTGCAATATTAAACAAAAAAATTACAAAGGCCTCTGACCCCAAAGATTATTTGCCCTTTTTATGAAATAAGGATCCTCTCACACGCAATCTGATACATTGGCTCCAGACCAGCAATCAACTGACCCGATTACATATACCTGATCCTAGTAGATGACCCGACCCATTTATAACTGAACTTTAGGCGGGAAAATGTCCTGCCTTTCCACCTCTTTTTATATAGAGGTAGATTATGGTTAGGTTCCAAAATTAAAGCCGTTCAGTACGGTTTTTTCTAAGCCGTTCCAATATAAAAACCATGTCATTGTCCCAAAAGAACAAAAAACAAAATAACATCAAACAAATTAGAAATTTCTATTCATAATTATGCATCAAGGTTTTGCCATAATCTAAAATATGCATGTTAGATAAATAAAAATTTGTTAATATAATTATATTATGACACATTAAATAAGTATGTTTAAATTAAAATAAAAAAAATGGTTTTAACAAAAAGTTACACAAAATCAAATAGAAGGCCGACTGTATCTTTTTTTTGGCAAATCTTTCTAGCCTATTATACTACGGTATTATCTATTCTGTTAAGGCCAACATCCTAGAACTGGGATGAAATTCGAACATGTGACCTCTTCCTTAAAGTGTCACAGTGATGTCATCAGATCAGGAGTATTATCTTTTTTATGAAAGCTAGTTACCCAAAATCTTTCTTTAAAAATATTGCAATTGTGATATCTCAAGGAAAAGATCCTTTTTTCGTATTTTTCAATAGGGAATACAAGGCATATAAATAGCCAATACAAAATGAGGGAGTGGGGTACAGCTCAATAATGTACCTAGCAAATAATAAATATAAAATGACAATATATTGTTTAATAGCCCCCCTCAAGTTGGAGCATGAGGGTCTAAAATGCCCAACTTGCGAAGAAGAAAATGAAATTGTGTGTTCCCTAAAGCTTTGGTGAAGATATCTGCCAGTTGGAACGTGGTGGGGACATAAGATGGTTGAATCACATTTTCTTGTATGGCGTCTCGAACAAAATGACAATCAACTTCAATGTGTTTGGTCCGTTCATGGAAAACTGGATTTTTAGCCATGTGAAGAGCAGACTGGCTATCACAAAGGAGCGGGATAGCACGATGGTGGTGAATCCCCAAGCTGAGAAGTAGGGCCTTGAGCCACTTGAGTTCACATGTAGCAGCTGCCATAGAGCGATATTCTGCCTCTGCCGATGAGCGTGAGACAGTGTGTTGTTTCTTAGTTTTCCATGAAATAGGTGAATGTCCAAGAAATACAATCCATCCAGACACTGAGCGTCGAGTGAGTGGACAAGCCGCCCAGTCTGAATCACACCATCCTTGCAGAGTTAACTCACTATCTGCTCGAAGAAGAATGCCTTGGCCGGGAGATCCTTTGAGATATCGAATGACGCGTAGTGCTGCATCCCAATGAGCTTGTTGTGGTTGATGCATGAACTGAGATAAGATGTGAACTGAGTAAGCCAAGTCAGGACGAGTAACAGACAAATAAATTAACCGGCCCAAAAGGCGTCGATAGGGCTCAGGGTCTTTAAGAGAAGGGCCACAAGCGTGAGATAGACGATGATTCGGCTCAATCGGAAAGGATGCTGGTTTAGCCCCAAGTAATCCGACCTCAGAGATAATATCCAAAGTGTATTTGCGCTGAGTAAGAAATAACCCCTTCGGACTGCGGGCAACTTCAATCCCTAAAAAATATTTGAGAGACCCTAGGTCTTTCATATGAAAACAGGAGCCCAAGTAATTTTTGAAGGCCGAGATCGCAGCCGAACTATTTCCTGAAATTAACAAGTCATCCACATAGACAAGTACATTTAATTGCTCATTGTCTCTTGTTCGAGTAAAAAGAGAATAATCAGCGTATGACTGAGCGAATCCATATCCTTTTAAAGCAGTGAGTAGTTTAGCAAACCAACATCTTGGGGCTTGTTTGAGCCCGTATAATGACTTTCGCAAACGAAATACAAGTGAAGGATCTGTAGATGGGTAGCCAGGAGGAGGTGTCATGTATACTTCTTCGTGGAGATCGCCATGTAAAAAGGCATTATGAACATCCATTTGGTGCAATTCCCAAGCTTTGGAAGCTGCAACAGCTAAAAAAGCACGAATTGTCACCATTTTGGCAACTGGGGCAAAAGTTTCATTATAATCTAATCCAGCAACTTGTCGATTCCCGAAGACAACTAGGCGAGCTTTATAGCGTTCAATGCTTCCATCAGAGTTATATTTAATTTTATACACCCACCGACATCCCAAAGCACGTTTCCCAGGAGGGAGCCTAGTCATGCTCCACGTATGATTTGCTTCGAGAGCAGAAACTTCACTGGCCATGGCTGCACGCCAGTGTTCATCTTCATTAGCTTCACGGAAACTTTGTGGTTCGTGACCTGCCGTGATTGCTGCGAGGAACTCTCGATGTTTATCAGAAAATTTGTCACAATTAACATAATGTGCTAAAGGAAATGGCGTACCTGAGGAAAACGAAGGGACATGTGTAGTAGCGTGGGATGGACTTGAGGATGTAACCGTAAGAGTGGCATAATCCCGAAGCTTCACTGAGGGGAATTTAGTACGTAAGCCTCTTCCCAAATGGGGTTCATCTGGAACAGCTTGTGATGAGATCTCACTGGTGGAGGGTTGCATGGTTTCTAAAGGTGCGTCACTATGAGTTGACGTTACTGGAGGATCAATTTGCAATAAATCGTTATAATCCAAGGCAGGGTCCAACGTGGGAGAATGTTGTACGTTGGAATTCAATTTGGCAGGCTCAACAAATGGAAATTGGGTTTCATAGAATTTTACATCTCGTGAAGTAAAATATTCCCCAGTTTCAAGATCAAATAAGCGCCACCCCCTTTTTTCCAAAAACATATCCAATAAAGACACACTTACGACTCCGGCTTGCAAATTTATCTCCTTTAGCCTTTTGATTATGAGCAAAACATAAGCACCCAATAACACGAAGAGTGTTATAATCAGGCAAAATTCCAAATAACAGTTCAAA